CGTTTGAGACCAGCCTGGGCAACATAGCAAGACTCTATTTTAAACCAGGCGTGGTGGTGCTGGCCTGTAATCCCAGCACTCGGGAGGCTGAGGTAGGAGGATCATTTTGAGTTCAAGGCCAGTCTGGGTTGCAAAGTGAGTTCAAGACCAACCTGAACTTCATAGTGAGACCCTGTCTCAAAAGACTATTTTTAAAAAAGAAAAGGAAAACCAAGGAGTAGAATATAGAACAGCATGTAGGGAACGCTGTGAAGTTGGGTGGGGAGCATCCAGAGATGCTGATCTATGTATTTATCCTCTCTGGATGGAGGCCCAAGAGACTGGGATGGTAGACATTGCTGGGGCAGAGAACCAAGGCCTGGGGCCCTCAGGAGAGAGAGAAGCTTACTTTCCACTGAAAACTCTTTATACCATTAGAATTAGTCCCTCATATTCTCTGTATGGGATTGAGTAATATCCCTCAAAATATATGCCCACCCAGAATCTCAGAATGTGAGAGTATTTGGAAGCAGGGTCTTTGTAGAGATCACTGCGTTAAAAATCACACTGGGTGGACTTTAAGTCCAATGTCTGGTATCTTCATCAAAGAAGGCTTGGACAGGAGAACGCTATGTTGAGTCAGAAGGCAGAGTAGACCAGAGTGATGTGTCCACACACCAAGGGATGCCCAACAGGTCTGGCAACTACCAGGAACTGGAGGAAGCAAGGCAGGCTCTTCCCCTAGAGCTCTGGAGGAAGTGCATCCTCCAACACCGCGATTTCAGACCGTTGGCCTCCAGAACTGCGAGAGAATAAATTTCTGTTGTTTTCAGCTACCCTGTTTGTGGCATTTTATTATGGTAGTGCTAGGAAATGAATCTGCTTTCCAATAATGAAACCACGGGCTGAGGATGTGGCTCAGTGGTAGAGCATGGGGAGGCCCAGGGTTTAATTATCAGCACCAAAGAAGAAAAAGAAGAATGATATATAGTTAACTATGAAGAAGAAAGAAAAAGGCTTTGGCATCCCAGGAGTAGGACTGGCTCAGGGGAGAAAGATCCTGAAAGGTCAATTAGGCAGGCTACAGTTGAAGACAGGTGGCTGACCGGCAGTTTGAAAGCTTAGACTCTGGGAGGAGGAAGAGGGGAAGGGGAGGTAAAAAGTATTATGATGTGCTATGTACATGTGCTAACTCCCCATGATGAATTATTATGTAGTGTAAAGATGTACTAATAAGAAAAATTATAAAAGGAATGATATACCATCACAGCAAAAAAAAAAAAAAAAATGGCAGGGCATGGTGGCACATACCTTCCAAGTGGAAGGTGATCCTTCCACTTGGGATGCTGAGACAGGATGATCTTCCTCAGTTTCTCATCTAGAAAAAACGGCTTGACAATGTTGTTTGTTTGTTGGTGTTTTACAACAGAGTTTCCCTAAGTAGTCCAGGCTGCCTTAACTCCCTATGCAGCTCAAACTGGCCTTGAATTTACAACTCTCCTGCCTCCGCCTCCAGAGTGTTGGGCTTATAAGCAGTTAGCCCCTGACAATGATTTAAAGGTCTGTTCCCAAGGGAAAGAGCAAGACATCTACCAGAACCAGGATGCTGACCTGGGGAAAACAAATTAACCTAGAGCCAGGTGTGGCACACACCTGTAATCCCAACACTCAGAAGGCTGAGGCAGGAGGATTGTTTCAAGTTTGAGACCAGCCTGGGCTACAAAGTGAGCTCAAGACCAGCCTGAACATAGCAAGATCCTGTCTCAAAAAAAAGGAAAGAAAAAAAGAAAGAAAGAAAGAAATTAACCAAATAAAATGGAACAACAGAAACGTTACAAGGACGGCATCACAAGCCAAGAAAGAATCTGCTGACAATTATAGTGGCCCCATGGAAGATGAGTCAGTGGTTCTTACTAGTTTATTAAAATGTATGTTATTGGTCCCTGCTCCTAGGTTACAGTTCAAAGGGCCTGTTCACCAGCTGACTCTACATGGGGAGACTGACACTTTAAGACGCACCAAATGTACTTTGTGTTTTGAGGCAGGGTCTCACTATGTAGTTCAGCCTGGACTTGAACTTGCTCATGTAGCCCAGGCTGGCCTCAAACTCACAGGGATCCTCCTGCCTGAGTCTCCTGAGTGCTGGGATTACTGGCATGCACTACCAAAACAGGCTACACAAAATGTAGGACATGCATTAAAAGGTCAAGGTCCCAGGGCAGAGATGTAGCTCAGCGGTAGAGCACCTGCTGAGCATGTATAAGGCCCTGGGTTAGATCTCTAGCACTGAAAAAAGAAAAGAAAAAAGAAAAACAAAAAACAAGATCCACTGATCAAGTCAGGCTGAAATGGAAAAACTGTAAGGACAGAAACTGAAGGCCATTTTCCTTTCTCTTATTCCCTTACCAATATGTCCAAGTGTCTGTTACTGAAACAGAATAAATAATTAAAGAAGTCTATCTCTCTGTAGGTCGCAGATTTTTACATTTTTATTTTATGGTAGTACTACAGATTGAACTCAGGGTCTTTGCACTGAGCTACATCTCCTCTTTATACTTTTTGAGACGGGTCTTGCTAAATCACTAAGTTGTCCAGGTTGGACTTGAACTTGCAGTTCTCCTGCATCAGCCTCCCAGAATGCTGGGATTACAGGTGTGTATCACAACACCTGACTGGATTAAGGAGTTTTTACAGACAGAATTATCCAAGCTGTGAAAGGGTGACATAGGTTGCCTGGTGAGGTGCTAAGCTCCCCACGGCTGGGAGTAGTCAAGGAAAATTTATAGGACTGTCTGTAAAGGTTGTGCTGTACACACAACCTAAACTAGCACTATCTGAAAAAGTCTGCTACACTGGAAATGTTCTATAGTTGTCCAAGATGACCACTGCCTTGGAACACACAGATCTAAATGCCATGGTATATCTGAGTGGCTGAAAATCCTAAGAGCTAACATGAACTTTGGCAGGTATGTTAGATAGGATGGGGCATGCTGGGGGTGCCCCTTGAGAAGGAACCAGGTTTACAAATACACACTGCATAATAGGAATTTGTGGCACAAGCCCATGTAGAGCCAGGGAAGGTGCCTGACCCAGCCAGTAGGGCGAGAATCCAGGGCGTCCTACACCAAAAGCTGAATAAAACACAAGTGAACCAGATAAAGCAGGCAAGGGAGAAAGGATGCGGAGGTAGAGGACAGAGCATGAACAGCAGCCTGGAACTTGAGTGAAACAGCTGATCTGGGAAACAGACAGCAGTCCGGGGTGAGACAGAACGGTGGGCATGGAAAATGTGGCAAGATGAGGCTGGAGGCTGGGCGGGGAGGGGTCGCTGGGCAGGGAGGGGTCGCTGGGTGGGGAGGGGTCGCGGGCCTCCTGGGCCTCCCAGGGGGGTGATGGGAAGTTTAACAGCTGTTTAAGCACGGATGTGAGGCAACAAGGTGTGAACACAGAAAGAAAGCCCCACTCAAGGAGCTGTTGTGGAGTAAACAGGGCAGCCAGATGTGAGAGGTACTAGAGGCTTGGGCCAGGCAGTGGCGGTGGTGCTGTGAAGGTGGGCACTCACCTGCCTGGTCTTGCTCCCCATACCATGTGTTCCAGTTGCCCACAAGTGAGCAGGGATAATCCTCATCCAGGTGGAGCTTGGGCAGCACAGCCTCCCTGTGGGAGAGGCACAGAGAGAGGACAGTGCTCACGCTGGCCGCCAAGGCCTCTGAGATGAGGGTTCCCACTCAGGCCTCCAGGGCTGGGCCTCAGTTGTCCCATCTCTAGGATGTACAGGCTGGACAAGATGTCCTTAGGACTTCCGGCTCAGAAGTCTACCTGCCCTGGATCTCGGCAAGGAGAAGTAGGCAGGGGGTGTTCTAAGGATTTGCTGGGATGGAACCCCCACCCCCACAAGCAGGCACCGGGACAGGCAGAGGAAGGGTGCTCACGTCAGGCTGTTGTAGGCATCCAGGCACTCGGGCTTCACGTTGTGAACTGCAGCAGAGGACAGAGAGCAGGAGGTGAAGCAGGGTATGTGTGTACGCGTGTGTGGGGGGTGTGTAGCTGGGGGTAGTGCAGCACATCAGAAAACACAGCTCCCAGGACAGGACAAGATGACCCCAGGAGCCTCAAAGGCCCGCAGAGGCCACGAGGATGGGGCTGGCCAGCCCAGCAGTCACTCACACTGGATCTTATAGAGGTTGCTGGTCTCCTTCTTGGACAGCAGAGTAGAGTGGGCATCCTTCCGGGGATCGACTTTGTGGACAAACAGGGAGCGAAACCAGCTGCCTTCATTGTCCTTGGAATAGGAACTGCAGGACAGAAGAGTTCAGGGGGATGTGTGGGGGCAAGGGAGCCCCAGCGGTTCTATAGCTCAGGTGTTCTGCTCCCCAAGGCTGGTGACCTACATTTCTGGAAACAAGGCCATGCAATCCCAGGCAGCCCCAGAGTGTGAAATGTCATCAACTGGGCAGACTTCATCCCTTCCCTTCTACAGCAATCTCAGCTGCCTGCTCTGTACTTGCAGGGCCTCAGGAGTCTGGGAGAGGCGGCCCCACTGCCCCTCTCTCTCCACTTCCCTCCTTCACTCCCCCACTTCCAAGGGGACCTCCACTTGGGCCACATAACTCCGGCCTCTTACCAAGTGAAGCAGCCCCAAACCCACCTTGCCTGACATCCAAAGCCCTTGATGACTCAGCCTATCATCAGCCTCCTCTCCGGTCCCCCCAACCTATGTAACCCACTCTCCAGATGTGCTCTTCCCTCATGACCCCAGAATCTCTTACTCGGGCTTTCTAAGTCTGTCCTCTCTGATGAGGCTACACTCACTGTCCTCGCAGGTGCTCACAGTGCACTTGGCCTCTCTCTTGTCTGTTAGGTACCAAAAAGATAGCCAAAGACAAGCCTTGTCCTTGAAGAAGTCATGGTCCACTAAAAGTGTGCCTCACAATGCAGTTACAGCCAGGGTCTCTGGGAAAACCCCGGTGAACAAGCCTCAGCTGCCTCTGACAGTGTGGCAGTGAGGAGGTGAGCAGGTCAGTTTGCATCTGCAGGGCTGATGTGGCAGAGAAGAGGGACAAAGAAGGCATTGCAAGGAAGATACACTCCTTCATTTATGCAGTCGACACCTGCCCTGCCACCTAGGTCAGGTGCTGCAAGAATGAGTGGGTCAGTGAACACAACCATGTTCTCGGCCTATGAGACAGCGGTTCAGAGCGGGGGAACCCAATGCCAGGTTCTGCGACACCAGAACTGCACCCCACGTCCTGCACACATGCATACAAAGTCCCAGGAGGGGCACAGCTTGTTTTGAGGCTGTCAATCTTATTTCACAGCCTTTTTACAGGATGAAGCCTGGCCTGAAAAGCAGATCACCTGGGGGAGAGATGATTCCTAGCAGTGTAGGCATGTCCTCTCCCTTCGCAAGCCTTCTGTATGGCTAGCACACATGGCTTGCAAATAAAAACATTATTTTTTTCCAAAATGTGGAGCAACCACTGGGACTGATTAAAAAAAATCATCTTATGATCTGTTATATTCATGTACAGACTCTCCATAATAAATGTAACCATCCATTATGTACTGAAAACATGTATTAATAAAAATAAAATTTAAAACAATCACCTCACGGGGTTTGGGGGTGTAGCTCAGTGGTGGGACCCTGAGGGACTTGACTTTTGATTTGAATGTAGAGGGGCTGCCTCCCTGGGAGGGATAGTGCCTCACAGGAGCATGCCTTTGCCAGGTGTGGTGGTGCATTCCTGTAATCCCAGCACTTGGGAGGCTGAGGCAGGAGGATCACTGTGAGTTTGAGGCCAGCCTGGGCTACAAAGTGAGTTCAAGGCCAGCCTGAACTGCACCGTGAACCTCTGCCTCAAAAAAAAAAAAAAAGTGGCTTTACCATTTGTTGACCAAGAACTCTGTTCCAGAGCAAAGCTCCCAGTAATTTATTAACATCAGTAGTAACTAAGATAAATAACCAACGACCAGTCCTGAAGAAAGAGCTAGAGCCTAGAATGCTGAGGAAAGTAAGAGGGAGACATCAAAGACCTTCGACAGGCTCCCAGCTCTTTCCACTGCTTTCTAATCCTTCCCACCTATGGGCCTCAGTTTCCCCATCTGTCAAGTGAGCAGAGCACAGCAGGCTATCTCAAAAGATCTTTTCTACAGGTAAAAGTCCAACAAGGGATCCTAGGGTGGATCTAAATTTCAGGCTAGGGAGCTGGGAATTTAGCTCAGCGGCAAAAGCGCCTGCCTGGCAAGCGCAAGGTCGTGAGTTCGGTTCCTGGTACCGGAGAAAAACCAAAAAAAAATAAAAATAAAAAATAAATTTCAGGCTAGTATTGTCAAATGCATACTTTCAAGAGTTCCAGTTTCATCTGGCGTGGTGGCACATGCCTGTAATCCCAGTACTCGGGAGGCTGAGGCAGGAGGATCACTGTGAGTTCGAGACCAGCCTGGGCTACAGAATGAGCTCAAGGCCAGCCTGAACTGCATAGTGGGACCCTGTCTCAAAAAGACCAAAAAAAAAAAAAAAGAGCCAATTTCACTTTCTTGCTGAATCTGCAATGTTCTCCTACCTTTGATCTCCCCCACCCCTCTCATGCTACTCCTTTATTTTGCTGTACAGTGACTTCTAAAACATCACACCAGGGCTTGAATTGGTAGAGTACAAGGGCTCAGTGGTACAGTACTAAGTGTTTTATTTATTGTCTGTCTCCCTATCAGAATCAGCCCCATGAGCACAGGGATCCGCTCTGTTCTTCTGTGTCCCCAGTGTTTGGAACAGGGCTGGCACGTGGCACCTCTGTGTTCAGGAAATGAATGGGGGGAGGGGTGCAGTTGCAGAAAAATGATGCAAGTTGTTAAGATAAGAAAGGGAAGAAAAGGTGGGCTTTGGCCTGGAATGGGCTTTGGCCCTGGAAGACTCAGGGCCTTTCCCATCCCCAGCAGTTGTGTTAAGAGCTTAACAGCCCAGGCTCTGGACAAACTCCAAATCTAATCTCACCTCGGTTTAATCTTTCTGGGTCTTACTTCCTTATTTGTAAAACTGGGGCCACAGGATGGGCCTTTTAGAAAAAGGGCTAACACGGTAACGCAACTACCATCAGTATTTCTGCCTATCTTTCTAACATCTCCTAGTTCCCACATTTTCCTAATCTGGCAAGTACGCTTTTCTCTTTGCAGCGCTAGGGATCCATCCCAGGGCCTCACACAGGATAGGCAAGCATGTTACTGAGCTACATCTCAACCCTCTTTATTTTGAGGCAGGATCTACGTTGCCCAGGTTGGTCTTGATCTTGCAATCCTCCTGCCTCAGTTTCCTGAGTAGCTAAAATTACAGGTGCACACAGCCACGACCAGCTTAAAAGCACCATTTTATGATGCCATTGCTCTGCTCAAAGCTACAAAGTAAAGGCCAAATGTCTCCACTTGGCCATTCTATCTCTAATCTACTTTGCTGCACTTTCTAGTCAACTCCCTTTTTATTTTGGTGACTGCAGAGCCCAGGAGTCCCCACCTCTGTTGTTCTCTGACTAACAGCTTCAGAGTAACCTGGAACTTGTTAGAATCTACACCGAAAGTAGGCCTGGTCATTTGAGTTTTTGTTTTTTTTTTTTTAATTTATTTATTTATTTATTTTGGTTTGGTTTTTTTCCGGTACCGGGAACCGAACTCACGACCTTGCACTTGCCAGTCAGGCGCTGTGCCACTGAGCTAAATCCCCAGCCCCTCATTTGAGTTTTTATAAGACCACCAGGGGATTGATTCTATTGCATGCTCAAGTTTGAGGATCACTGCTCTAGTGCAGTCCCAATTTCAACTTCACGTAATTTCGGCAAATCATTCCAGAAAAGCAAAAAATCATGATATCTACACTGCTTCTCAGGCCTGAAAAACCATGATGTAATTTTGTCCAGGAAGAGTGTGCCCCAGAGATGTGCAGGGGTACACAACTGCAATCCCAGCTAGAGAGGCTAGGACAAAAGGATCAAAAGTCTGAGGCTAGCCTGGGCTACTCAGCAAGGCCCTATTTCAAAATAAAAAGGGCTGAGGATGTAGCTCATCACTCCCTGTGTTCAATTCCCAATATCACAATGGATAAGAATCCCGATAGACTAGTTCCAGCCTTTCCCACAAAAATCTCATATTTCTCCCCTCACCTGCTTTATTAATTTTATGTGGATACGTTTTTTCCCCAGCCACATATGGAGCCACCAACTAATGTCCTTCCATTCCTCCCAGGGTGTCTAACATAGTACTTTTAAAAATTGGGGCTGGGGAT